GTTCCCAGATCTCCGACACAACGTCGCGAACCCATATGACTTCGACGGCAACTTGTGCCGTAAGCTAGCGCGACTTCGCCAATTCGCTCTACAAATCGCCCAGGGCCATGCCGTGGAAGAGCTTCGGAGTTCCCAGGCCGACCTCACTGGCGAGGACGCTTTCAAAGCACAGGTCGCACGTCAGAAAAACACTCGCTTGATTTTTCGTCTCGCCCCTGGCCGGGACAGCGCGCTCAGCGCCATCCTCAAGGACGATTGCGAGGTAACCATACAGTAGATTAGCAGGACCTGGCACGCTCCCTGGGCGCACATTGGTCCAAGACCTTCTGGGCGCAGGGTATCAACGATGAGTTTCTAGACCAGTGGTTGGAGGACGACGCATACACCAGACCTTTTCTCGGACACGGTCAACACGTGGGTGGCCCGGGCACGCCTCTGGAAGTCGCATTTTGCACATGCTCTCAAGACTTCGAGCAACACGGCCCCGGGCTCAGACGGAATCCCATTTCCGGCATGGCGCCAGCATGCGAAGGTCGCAGCGTCCTCGCTGTTCACCGCGGCGACATCCATGGGAACGGCGAGACAGGCCTCACCACAGAGGAAGCCAAGGAGTACAACGCCAGCCTGATGGTCCTCCTCCCCCGAAATCCGGCTGGCACTCTGCCGACTGGGGAGGGCTATTTCACGCCCGCGGGGACCAGGCCCCAGAGCGTGGCGGGCACGGACAATCGACTCAGCTCGAACGTGGTCCGCTGCGCCATTGAGCCAGCGGTCAGCCAGGGTATCCTGGAGATTCAACGAGGTTTCCTCGGTAGCCGTTCCATGCTTGCCGATTTTGTGGACATGGAGGAGGTGATACTCCGAGCGGCGCTCAGCAGCTCAACCGGGGGAGCTTTGCTGTTCGATTTGCGGCGGCGTTCCCGTCCATTGAGCACAAGTTCATGTCCCGCGTTTTCGACCACCTGGCATGGCCAGCGTGGTTGAGAGGCTGCACTACCGCCTTGTATTCAGAGAATTCTTGTGCGATCGCACTGGGAGGGGCCAAACATAGTTGCTTCAACGTCACGAGGGGGGATCAGTAGGGCTGCCCATTGTCGCTGGTCCTTGTCGCGGCCGCGATTGACATTCTCTTTCGCAGGATCCAGCTTCAACTTCCAGGCGGCGTCCTACGAGGTTGCGCGGACGACCTCGTGCTTGCGGTCACGGACATCTGGGCCTGCCTGCCAGTGGCGGAACGGATCTTCACGAATTCCAAGCGTGTCAAGGCTCGCCTTGAACCTCCGCAAGACGGACTTCATCCCGCTATTCCCACGACCCTCCAGGAGGCCCGCGAGCGCTTGGCCGAGACAACCCCGCTATGGGGAGCGTTCAAGGTCGCTTTTTGTGCAATACACATAGGGCACTTCATTGGGCCAGAGAAAGGTCAGCTCACGTGGGACGCCGCCAGACGGGAATACCAGGACCGCGCGGAGATGTGGCGTTCCTTGTACGTGGGCATGCTGAATACGGTCGAGGCGTGCCGGATTTACGTGGCGTCAGTGTTCATGTTTTGTGCCCGGCTCGACACTCTGCCGCCGAATTCTGTGGATGTTGAAAATTGGTGAAAACAGGGTGTTGCGGCGCGTGTTTGTCGGGCTTGGGGATCGGATGTCTTCTGAATATCTCCATAGCCTTACGCTGTCTTGCTTCCCCCGTGAGTTGTTCGATGTTCACTCCGCGTCCATTGCCGCTCGTGTACGAGTGGCCCTGCACGAGGATTGCAAGAACGGTGGGCTACAGGTATCGCACAGGGCGCACGTACTCCGGAATCTTGTCACGGCCACCAAAGAAGCTGCAGCCCGCGCCGCCGTTATTGGCCGTTCTTTTTCTCCCTTGGGTCCGCCGTCATCCGCGTGGGCGGGGCGGCCGCAGGGGAGCGCGTCCTACTTGACATCCAGCACCCAGACCACCCGTGCACGGGGCGGCAGGCCAGAGTTGCGCGCCTCGCCCAGCCAGACTACACCACCGCAGCCTTGGCACATATCCGTCACAAGCTCAACCGATGGCAAGTTTGAACATTACCCGGCCACAGGACATCACGATGGATCCGCGTCACCCCGTTTGTATCGGATTTCGTCGCACCGAGGGCCATGGCTGCAGCAGTACGAACTGCCTGCAATTGCTGGGCGACCGCACGTCGATTCCAGGGCCTCTCGTCGTGCATCATAGGCTTCAGTGGGGAGGACGCGATCGAGCATTACGCGTCATGCCGTGTCTACCACGATTTGCTGCTCGCGGCACCTGGGCCTCCGGCGCCCATCCATGGAGCACGCTTTGGAGGACTTTGTCGGCATCGACCGGTCCTCGACGTCATCGTGGGGCCCGTCGCTGACGGAGGCGGAGAAGAGCGCACTGAGGACGATCTCCATCTACGCTTTGCACATGACGCACGCGCAGGTTTGCCACGGACTTTGGGCGGCCGCGGCCGCGAACGCCTTCCGCGGCCACCTTCGGGAGGCCACGCGGCGCCACCCGAGGTCCAGGAATTGATGGTGAGGGACTTCGCTTCGCGGGACGCGCGGGCAATCAGAGGTTGATTCCCATTTTTCTCCCCCATTTTTCTCTCCGCGTGGTTCGCTCGGCTTCTCTTCGTAGTTTGTCACGCAGTACATATGGTAGGGCCATCTTGGCGCCTTCCTTTCGACCCGGCGCGGTGCACCGAGATGCGTCCGCGATTAGCCACGTCGGTCTTGGCCGGTCGCTTTGTCCAGCTGCTCTCCCCTGCTCGTCCCCCTCTTCCTTCTCCGCTCCCCAATAGCGTTTAGTATATGGTGGGAAACTTACATGGTAATTGACGGAGCTCGGTCTCCGATCCTGCTTGCAGGGCAGAGAGAATCAGCCATTCTTTGCTACCGTCATTTTGTGCGGTACCGTCCTGTTTCAGCGCGGCCTGCAACAAAAAGGAACCGTGAGGGCGTGCGGCCAGCGCCCATCCGGCAACATGTTGTCTTAGTCGCCTCACCCCTCCTCCTCGTCCCCGTCGCTCCTCCTACCCTGTCATCTTCCCCCTCCCCGCAAGGCCGTCCAGACCCTAACGGCGCAAGCTTATTGAAGCTACAGCAAGGCCCCTCGCTCGGGTCGCGAGTGGGTGGCCGCATCGGGGTTTCACGCAGGAGCGAGTGTGTGGCGGCATGCGGTTCTCATGTCAGAGTGAGTGCGTGGCGGCATTTGAGTTGTGCGAACGAACAAAAAAACGTGCGACACCTCTGGGACTTGTGGGACCTGCGGGGCCTGTCGGCCCTGTGGGACCTGGGGCATGCGAGACCTGCTGGACCTATGGAACCTGTCAGACCGGTGGTACCTGTGGGACCTCTGGGACGACCTGCGTTTGGGTCCTGTGGGACCAGTGGGGCCTGTGGAGCCTGCGGAACCTGCGAGACCCCTGGGGCCTGCGAGACCTGTGGGATGCAGAAAAATGGCCCACACAGGAGCGGGAGGGCCATTCTGACCGACGGGAGCGCGGCGCCGATCCGAAAATGAGGCCCACGCCACAGCGACAGCATTTTTCAGAAAAGCTATAAACAATCAGAATGTAACAAACAATCTGAAAATCCGATTCGCGCAAATCCGATGTGCAAGAAAACCAGATGCGGAGGGGGGGCGAATACTCCCAGGACGTCCTCGGGAGAGTGAGAGAGAGAGGAGAGTAGTATGTGTTTGGTGCAGGTGTGGACGAGGAGGAGGAGGCGGACGAGGAGGAGGAGGAAAAGAAAGAGGAGGAGGAGAAAGAGGAGAAGACGAAGCGAGGAAGAAGGGGAGCGAGGAGGAGCAGTATCAGCTGCCGCAGGAGTTGGAAGAATAGCGGCAGGCGGAAGGGGGAGCACGGGAGAGGAGAACGGGGAGACGCGATACGGATGCCCGGCGAGAGGCGGCGAGGAGAAAAGCATAATCGACCCTGACTCTGTCGAAGGCGCGCCGCAACGAGACGAGGTGGACGGGCGTAGCGGAACCACGAGGGGGGGGGCGGGGCGGAGAAGGGGGAAGAAGAAGGGAACAGACGGGAAGGTGGGACGGGGACGGAGACGGGGCAGGGACGAATAGGGCATGGCACGGGGCCGCATTGGGTTGAGGGAACACCACAGAGGCGGGGCATTGCAGAGCAGGTTTCTGGGAGCAAAATCAGAGAGACGCGTTCTCATCCTCGTCGCCCATCTAGTCACATGTGATGCCCAGGACCGCCTTGGGGACCCAGGGGCCAACTTGGTCGAAACCCGCGAGGGGGTGCGGGCAAGCAGTTCCTGAAGACATCGGCAGGGGCGCACCAGGAGGCGGAGGAGGAGGGCGCGGAGTGCGGAGGACGAGAAGGAAGAGAGAGAGAGAGAGACAAAGAGAGAGAGAGAGAGAAAAAAAAAATGTACCACCGCAGTGGCCTGTGATGATTGATCAAAGTCTGCACTGTACGAAAATGGTTCATCGGTGCGGCCCAAGTCAGATATGTCTAGTCTAAGCACCGCCTACTATCGCGATGTCTCGGCACATATAGAATATGGATGGCACTGCGCTGACACAGTGCCGCTCTGAGCCCAAATGGTCACGGAGACGTCACTCCATTCCCTTGGCAACACACTGCATGAGAAAGAAAGAAAGAGAGAGAGAGAGAGAGAGAGACCGAAGCGGGGAGTTTCGGCGGCAGGGGAGGGGAGGTCGGCCACGCGCAGAGGGGGGGTAGGGGAGGGGGGAGGGCTTCTTCGAAGAACCCCAGATTCTCAGAAAGCGCGGGCCTTGTCTGTAAAAGGAGGGCCGCCGCCTTCCGAGAAGCAGCTTCCTTCTAAGAAGCTTTCCCCCCTCCCCCTACCCCCCTCTGCGCGGCGCCAAGGAAGGCACTGCAGCCCGGCCCAGTGCAGGTCTTCGCCTCGATCTGCCACTGCTTTGTCGCCCTGGTCCCCGACACCGAGCACGCCGACACAAACGCGGCGGCCAACCGGGCGGCCTTCCACCGCCGCACGTGGTGCCGCGCGGAGGCCACCAGCCCCTCGTGGCGGTGTTTGTTCTTTGTTTGTTGTGCCGTCTCTCGGGGTCAGTCTCGCGAGCATGATGGCGCTTCTTCCTGGGGCTGGTGGTGGCGGATGCGTCGCTGCCTCGATGCGCCCGTTGTGCAACGCAACACGTATCAAATTCGAATCGTCCGTGTTAACACGTTGCGTGTTGGCTCAGCGTATTGGTTTACGTTTTAGCTAACGTATCGCGGTATACTTGCGCTTTCAGTCTACGTGTTGAGCTCCGTGTCGACACGCTGCAGGTTGCGTGTTGCGTATCGGGGCGGCCAAGCTCGGGGTCATTCTCGCGAGGATGATGGCGCTTCTTTCTGGGGCTGGTTGTGGCGGAGGTGACTTCCGTCAAGGAAGGAAAAACTGCATGAACGTACACTTCCAGAGCTCCGCGCGGACCTCCGAGAGTGCAATGCCGTTTTTCGTCCCTCTGCTGATGGCGCTTCTTCCTGGGGCTGGTGGTGGCGGAGGTGGTCACGAGGGATCGTGGCCCTCGGAGCGCGAACCCATAGTCATTGACGAGCGACCGTGACCTTGGAACGTGAATCTGGCGTATTTTACGATGGGTCGTTGCCCTGGGAGCTCGAATCCAACGTACGTATCGAAGAGCCGTGGCCTTGAGAGCGTGACTCCCGCGTAATGCACGATGGATCGCGGCCCTGGGAGCGCGGACGCTGCGCGATATACGATGGATCATTGTTTCGGGAGCGCTGGCGCAGCGCAGCTTGCGAGTGATCGTGGCCCAGGGAGAGCAGACGCAGTGTAATGTACGAGGGATCGTGGCCTTGGTCCCGCCGTAATGGTTTCGTTCATGGGTCCGCCGTGCGTTGCCCCTTTCTGATTCCGCGGTGTCTGGGGGGGTAGTGCTGGGGGGAGGCACGCCGTGTTTTTGTTGTAAGAAAGCGTCGCTTGCTTGGGGGCGCGGCCCCGCCGTAATGCTGCGGTAATGCGTTCGTTTCTGGGTCCGTCGCGTGTGGCCTCTCTTTGGGTCCGCGGGGTCTGGGTGGGCGATGCTCTGGGGGAGCGGGGGTAGTGGGGTGTCTGTCCTCATCCCCCCCCGCTCCTGCCGATTTTCGGCGTACCTTCAGCGTACCCTCGCTGACTTGGACACGCGTACCTTCACCGTACCTTCGGCGTACCTTCAGCAACGTGTCTGGATGAAAACAGTACAGGGACCGCGTACCTTCAGCGTACCTTCGGCCTACCTTCAACGAGTGTGTCCGACGTACCTTGAGAGTACCTTTGGCATGCAATCGGCATACTCGCGTAACTTACCACTGACTGAGCGCGAATCCAGTGTAAGTTACGATGGGGTCGTGGCACTGGGAGCGCGGACGCAGCTTAATGTACGATGGATCGTGGCCGTGGGGCAGCGGACGCAGCATCACTTCTTGGTGATCGTGGCGTTGAGAGTGCGGGCCCAGCGAACTTTACGATGGATCGTAGCCCAGGGAGCGCGGACGCAGCGTACTTTACGAGGGATCGCGTGGCCCTTGACATCTCGACCAAAGCGGGGCGCGAAGATCCCAGGAGGCTCTAGGTGATCCACGGCGCGTCCCGTGCCACGTCCCGTGACACGTTCCCTGACGCGTTCTTTGGCACGTCCCCTGGCGCGTCGCCTGGCACGTTCTCTGACACCTTCGGTGGCTCGCGTCCTGTGGCGAGTCCCCCTGGCACGTCGCGCGGCGCGTCCCCTGGCATGTCCCGTGGGACGTCCATTGGCACGTTCCGTAGCGCGTCCCCTTGACACGTCCGTCGGTGCGTCCCCATGGCACGTCCCCTGGCACTTCCCTTGGCGCGTCCCTTGGGACGTTCCGCGGCGCGTCAGCATGCTCCCCCGGCAGCGCCCAATTGCATATGCAATTGAGGTCTTCGGAAACGGTTCCATGCTTCGCAGTTCTCAATCCTTTTCTAGGTTCGCTTGTCGATCATGTTAATCAACAAGTGCGCGCACGTAGTATTATTTGACAGGAGTGAGGGGGGAGCAATATTGGCATGGCTGGGATATTATGGGTTCATATTTGAAATCAACGATGGGGCGGAATCATTTGTAAATTGAATTACCCCACGGGGTACCATGAGATCCGGGGGGGTGGGGGGGATCCTACATTACCTGTCGGAAAAAAAAAGAAATATACTTGGTGCCGGGGCGGCGACCCGCCAGCCAGTCTCAGACGACGGGGCGGCCCGCCAGACCGACAGCCAGGCGCAGACGATGAGGCGGCGATGAGGCGGCGACGGGGCGGCGACGGCAACCACGGAGCCGCCAGACCGCCAGCCAAGCCGAGCTTCTTAGAAGAGAAGTAAGGATTCCGAAGTGCAAGCGCTGTTTGGAGTTTAACACGGCCAAGACCGAGGGACCAAGACCAAGGAACCAAGGAATCAAGACCAAGGACCTACAACAGAAAGACTAAGGAACTGAGCAACCAAGACGAAGAACCAAGAAACCAAGACCAATGGACCGATGAACAAAGACCAATGAACCAAGGAACCAATGCCAAGGAACAGCTGAACCAAGGAACCAAGAACCAAGGAACCAGGGTCAATGATCCAAGGAACCAAGGGAATCCGGGCAATGCCTGATGAGGAAGCAAGACCAAGGAATTGTGGGGAACCACCTCGTGAGGAAACAAGGCCAGGGAACCAAGACCAAGGACATAAGGAATTAAGGAAAGAAGGAATCAAGGAACCAAGGAAGATCAAGGAAGCAGCACTAGGAATATGGACATGTAAGACATGGCAACGTTTCAAACACACTTGATTTGGCGGCGGGCAAATGCAATGATGAGTGTATCGATCTTCATGTACCGTGCCGAGAGCTGTGCTGTGCTGCGCCGTGCTGAATTGCGATGTGCCATGCCGCGATTGTGCTCTATAGCGTTGTGGATCGAGTCCTCTTTTGCGCCCGAGTCCTGACCGATCTGATCTGGGTCGTAAGCTCGAGCTGTCTGAGCACATAGTAGCTGCCCCAGGGCTGATTGGCAAGGAGACATGCCAGGAGGACGCGCCGCGGACCGTCCCAAGGGACGCGCCAGGCGACGTGCCAGGGGGCGTGCCAGGGGGACGCACCGCGGGACGTGCCAAGGGGACGCGCTACGGAACGTGCAAATAGACGTGCCACGGGACGTGCCAGGGGACGCGCCGCGCGACGTACCAGGGGGACTCGCCACGGGACGCGCCACGGAACATGCCAGAGAACGTGACAGGTTGCAATGCTGAGTGTATCGATCTTGATGTACTGTGCCGAGGGCTGTGCTGTGCTGCGCCGTGCTGAACTGCGATGTGCCATGCCGCGATTGTGCTCTATAGCGTTGTGGATCGAGTCCTCTTTTGCGCCCGAGTCCTGACCGAACTGATCTGGATCTTAAGCTCGAGCTGCCTGAGCACATAGAAGCTGCCCCAGAGCTAATTGACAGGGGAACATGCCAGGAGGACGCGCCGCGGACCGTCCCAAGGGACGCGCCAGGCGACGTCCCAGGGAACGTGCCATGGGAACGCACTGCGGGACGTGCCAAGGGGACGCGCTACGGAACGTGCCAATAGACGTGCCACGGGACGCGCTCCCAGGGCAACGATCCCTGGTAAATTACGCTGCGTCCGCGCTCCCAGGGCCACGATCCATTGTAAATTACATTGAGGTCGCGCTCCCAGGGCCCCGACCCCTTGTAAATCACGCTGCGTCCGCGCTCCCAGGGCCACGATCCATTGTACATTACACTGCGTCCGAGCCCCCAGGGCCCCGATCTCTCGTATTCTACGCTGCGCCCGCGCTCCAAGGGCTACGATCCCTCGTAACTTACATTGCGTCCGAGCTCCCAAGGCCCCGACCCCTTCGTAAATTACGCTGCGCCCGCGCTCCGAGGGCCACGACCCCTCGCGAATTACACGTGGTCCACGCTCCCAACGCCACGATCCTTCGTACATTACGCCGGGTCCGCGCTCCCAGGGCCTCCTGGGGCAGGCTGGGGCGCCCAGATTTTTCAAGTTTTGCCAAACAAGCGCTTCGCTCGAGGCAACCTCTATTTTTTGGCGCGGGGGGGTGCACCATCCTCGAGCGGGCACGCAACAACTCAACATTGTCACGCTAAATCTTGTAAGGAAAAATATCCCAGAGCGACCCTACCTAGGAGTTGGAGCCCCGAGGAGAGCACTATTAGTAGTAACGGTAAACGCCGTCCTCCTCGTTCTCCTCATCGTCGCAGTTGTAGCAGTAGCGGCAGTAGTAGTAGTAGTAGTAGTAGTAGTAGTAGTAGTAGTAGTAGTAGTAGTAGTAGTAGTAGTAGTGGTAGTGGTAGTGGTAGTAGTAGTAGTAGTAGCAGTAGTAGTAGTAGTAGTAGTCGTCGTCGTCGTCGTCGTCGTCGTCGTAGTAGTCGTCGTCGTCGTCGTCGTAGTAGTACTACTATTACTAGTAGTAGTAGTAGTAGTAGTAGTAGTAGTAGTAGTAGTAGTAGTAGTAGTAGTAGTAGAAGTAGAAGTAGTAGTAGTAGTAGTAGTAGTAGTAGTAGTAGTAGTAGTAGTAGTAGTAGTAGTGGTAGTAGTAGTAGTAGTGGTAGTAGTAGTAGTAATAATAGTACAGCTTAATACCTACATCTACATCTAGACCTACATCCACATCTACACCTACAGCTACATTTACGTGTACACATGCATCTACATCTACATCTACATCTACAACTACACTCACATCTACATCTACACCTACACCTACATCTAAATCTACAACTACACTTTCGCATTGGTGTTGCTATTGCTTTGCATTGCCTTTGCTATTGCTCTTGCCTTTGCTTTTGCTGTTGGTGTTGCTTTTGCTTTGCTTTTGTTTTTGTTTTTGCTTGGCTTTGCTTTTGCCTTGCCTTCGCACACACACAGACACACGCATGTTTTGCATTCGCTCACCGGGTGTGCTTGAGAATGCTCCGGATCCGGCCTACACTGCACGACTTGGCAGTTGGCATGATATGCTATGCTATGCT